GTCATTATCATTATCATTATTATTAAGATCTTTGAAACTATTATCATTATCATTACTATCAATATCATTATTCATTTCTACACAGCTTGTGCCACCAGTCACAGCAGGCAGGAACAGGATCCTATGTATGGAAATGTGTCCTTGCCTGGAGCCAGCACTCTTCCTTACATAGCTCATGAATGGTACATTCCACCTTCATTTCCAGGAGGAAATAATGCAAGAGCTCTTTCCTAAGGCCCACTGTGTCTAATCTCAAACTAAGAGTTTTATGCCCTCACAATGAAACATCCCTGTCACCTACCACTCATCAACAATATCTCATGACAAGACATTGCCATTTGGCGATATATCACTGTCAATCGCATCTGATGGCTTAACAATACTATTAAAAATACATTACAGAAAATAAAAACCTTCAAAAAATCAAGGAAAATGGTCAGAAGTCCAATCAGGTAGGACTAAAGGTAGATTCACACCGGGAGCGAAGCTATGCTACACACACAATCCGCATGATGTGAAGCTATGTGGCTCTTAATTGCCTCAGTGTATTTTCTATGAGTGTGTTCATACCGGTTACGAAGCTACATGCATTATGCTAGTTACATCACACACATGGCTTTATCAGTTGCCAGGCTGGCAATTTTTTAAAACATAGCTCCAATAACGCGTTGAGTATTCTGGGAATCCTCCAGGCCCCTACTCCAACCCAATGAGGTTACAGTTCATCACGGGCTGTAACAAAGTCATCTTATAATGTAAGTCCTCTACAATCTAGGAGATAATCAAAAATATTGTTCAAGTCTTTCTTTAACGTCTTCCAGATCTTGCAGCAGATGATGATATTCACCAAATTTTGTACTTCCCAAATTTAACTCATGGGCCAATTTCCTTTCTCATCTATGATTCAGTGCTAGAGTTAGCATAAATTAGTAGTCATTCTTCCTCCTCTTTCTCAAGAAACCATGGAATACTGTCTCCCATGGCTGCAGCCACTGAGTGATGTGACACATTCAATAAAAGAGCTCAGCAGTATCTTTTCCAGTGTAAATATTCATATAGCATCCTCTGTATGCCACATCATGTGCATTGCATAGCTTAGCTCCCGGTGTGAATCCGCCTTAGTACTTGACTCCTTGGTGACTAAGCACTTGAGGAGGCATCTATATGTAACCAAAATTACTAAAATAAAATCACAGTAGACATGGCATGCATGTACATGCCCTCCCAGTGGCAATGGGTTAATCCATGCATTAAACAAGGAATTTAAATTTCTATTATATACATCTCATTTATGCAGACTTTGGTCAGATGATTTTGTCTTCCTTAGTTCCTTTGCCTTTGATATTTCTCTTACATAAGATTTAGAAAATATCCATTCCTATTCATCCATTTATTTCTTTTACAACAACACATTTACAAGTATCACTCTACTTTGACCATGACAACAACCAACATCAGAAGAAGGCCAAAACTCCCAAACATTTCAGCAGAAAATTAAGGAATAACCTAAAGAAAAAATAAGTATCCATTGCATATTAACAGTATTAGTTTGCATATTTAACCTTTAGAGTTAATTTGGCTATATTTTTTGTTAGGTACACCTACCACTTATTCACTACTATGTACAGAGGAGTAACAGTTCATAGGGAGCATTTGCCGTGGCTCAGTTGTATCAAATGAACCCTACTGAGGTTTTCCATGCCTGTCAGAAAGACATACACAAGAACAAAGAAGCATTGTGAGTTGTAAACATCCTCCTAACTACTGTATATACAAGAACCTGAAATACTACACACACAGAGAGAAGAGAGAAGAGAGAGAGAAAGAGAAGAGAGAAAATGAGAGAAGTAAAAGAGAAAACACTAGAAATGCAGGAAGTGAGAGAGAAAAAAGATAATGGAATGAGATGTAAGGAAGAGAAAAGAAAAATGAGAAAAAATAACAGATGTAAATTGTGGAAACAAAAATAAAACAGAAGATAGGAAAAAAAGTAAATAACAAATAATCATCATCACAGTCATCATCTACAAAAGATCTGAATTCCTTCCCAATAACACAGCATTTTACCTGAGTGGCCAGGGCAAATTCCTTTGAGCAGAGCCCACCTGGCGGAGAGAAGGCAAAGCACTTGAGGTTGGGAAACTGTGGTCGCATCAGAGCTGCCAAGACTACTGCTGTACCAGCACCCAAGCTATGGCCTGAAAATACAATAGATATACATTAGGGTTGTGTAAAGATCTCCACAGCAAAAATGCAGCTACAGTTATACTACCCACAAACGTCTAAGGAGTCTAAGAGTGGTTGGGTGTCTGTCCACATTCCATGTTTGCCAGACTACTAAAGGCTAAGATTTTATTTCATTGGTTATTAACAAAATATCTTGATGTTCCCACCACTATAAACTGAAATGAATTAGAGTTCCTTGAGACACAGACAAACACATAGAATGATTGCTGCTAGACTGACCACAATTGGAGGAGGTGGGAACTTAATAGCAAGTTCCCAAATTCCAATATTATGTGACCTGAGGACCATTATCATTGTCAATATCATCATCATTATCAATATCATTATCCATATTATTACTGTCATTACCATTATGATTATCATTACCATTACCATTTACATTATCATCATTATCATAACAAAAACATTACTGATGAATAAGATAGCACCAGCAATCTAAAGAAGGCTAATTTTATATAATGAATTAAACTAAACTCACTTTTATCACTAAAACAATGAACAATCATAACCCAAGAAAAATCTACTCTAAAGTAAAAAGGAAACTTCATCTACCTGTGATGACAACCCCATAACCAGGACGTGATGCCAAGCCTTCCCTCAGTGCCCTTGTCTCCTCTAGTTTGCGTTGAACAAACTTGGCTGCATGAACCATTCCTTTGTGAGCCAGGCAACCCTCTGGAAGCCCTGCACCCTCCACCTGCAGGAACAAAAATAAATCAGAGATGTGCTTAACCCTCTGAACATATGGTAACTACTACTGTTATCGTAAATGTGGACTCAACCATTTTTTCTTCACCTAGTTATCCTACTAACAGCAGTATATTTGAAGCCGAAAATAATGGTTACCGGGCAACTACAAAATCGACGCGCAGGGCTAGCCCTGAATCTACCCGCGCACCAGTGGCCCGCAACATATTCGGAGCGCAAGCTCTGATCCAACGTCACACTGGCGGGATGCCCGGCAATGTTTATTTTTCTGGGTCTCATATATGGGACACCTGTCATAAATGGGTTCATTTGTGTACTCAATATCTCAATGGGCTAAAGCACCCAAGTAGGTCTACTGATCCATTGTTCAGGAGCTCAAGCCTATCTGATGCCATGAGTGGCTAGGACCACAACTATTCCTAACATGCATAGGGAGGTGGTGACCCACAGAACCTCCAGGTAAAGGCTGTGTGTCAGTCAACATTTGCCTATGTTATCATTTTCTTAGTGAATTTAGGTCACAGTATTTATGTCATATGCTCTTGCCATGGTGAATGCAAGCTGTACCACAGACAACATATATAATAGCTATGGTGAATTTTGCTACATCACTGATGGTATGTATTTTTGCCATTGTGAGATTAGACCATGCCATGGATGGCATGTATTGTATTGTAGAAAAGGTATGAATGAGAGTGGATATCTTCACAATACAAGAGATGTATTTGATCAGTTTCGATTCTGTCTTCGTCAGAAATACAGATAGAATCGAAACCGGTCAAATACATCTCTTGTATTGTGAAGATATCCTCTCTCATGCATACCTTCTCTACATTTGTCAACAGGAATACGGTTCATGGCATGTATTCCTCCTATGGAGAATGATGGCATATATCTTTTTTAGTTGAATAATTGACATGGACATGATCTTATCGGTTGAGATGATCTATCAGAAAATTTGAGTTGCAGATGGCTTTGCAGGTCATATTCTTATTAGTTAATACATCTGGTCACTTCATATCCTTCTTAATTTCAATACAGCATAAAAATGCATGACCTGATACCTATTGTATCAGTGCTACACCAATCATCCACTTCTTTGAATCCTCTTGTGAAGAAGGTTTATGGGACATGTATGAGATGTAGCCAAAGAAACCTTGTTAATTACTTAACAGCAGCAGCAGCTCCGGTTATGCTGATGATGAAAGGATTGCAACGTATCTGGCCTAGCCAACTTAATATGATAGAAGTGGGAATACTATATATTTCCTGGGACAAGAATTTTTTCTTCCTGGCTGTCATAAGTACTCAAAGACAGCCAGCCTAAAATGCACCTAAGAACATATTTCCATTGTTTCCCCATCTTGTCACCAGTGAAATATGAGTCACAATAACAAAAAAATAGATGGAAGGAAATACAGATGATGCTGCAGCTGCAAGATGACAAGGCCCACCTGTGGGGAGAGTAGTGCTGCTCTCAGCACCTATGGCCGCTTCCAGCTGCACAACAACAACAATATGTAATGTCTGTGTATAGGTCATGCCATATTCAGTCTAAAATAGAACAAAAGCCTTGTTTTCATTTCCCATGAAACAATACTACTTTTATTCAGGTAGAATTTGCCAGTAATTCAGTGTAATACCACACTGATAAAACCAATCAAATACTTAGTGCACCTAATGCAGAATCATTAAAATAAATATGTACTATAAAATAACTTGTACAATTTTCCAAACATATGGCATATCAACTGATTAAATGACCCTAGTAGTCTAAACCAGTCATATGTGTGACAAGCAAGTGAGGGTTTGCATCTGCATGTAATCAAACCTTGCCATAGGTCTAGACAGCTCAGTAACTCCTATTTACCTAGTTAACACAATAGGAATGGGTACATACACTGTCCCCTGTAATTTTATTTGCCCACTAATAGTTTTACAAGTGCTTGGTCACTAAAGAGTCAGTTATTAAGCAAACAATTTTAACTCTAACCTATTCCTTGAAATTTTGGAAAATAAAGTTCTCATTTCTTTTACTATCATCATCTTTAATAATGCTACTATTACTGTTACTATCATTACTTTTATTACAACATTATCAACTCAGCACTGCCAGGAAAATGTGAATGTCCCTACACATAGATGGCTCCTCATGAGCTTACACATTAAGTAGTTAATTAGTTGACCTCGTGACCTCCCCTGATTTCACTTTTCCTGGAGTTTCCAATTTTTTTTCTATTACAAATTCTATTAACCCACTAGCACCGGTATATTTTGAAGTAAAAAATAATGGTTTCCGGGCAGCTCGAATCTGCCCGCATGCCAGCTGTGGCCCGTGATGAAATCGGAGCACAAGCTCTGATCTCGTGTCACACCAGCGGGACACGCAGCAATTTTTTTTTTTTTGGGGGGGGTGTTTCATATGAGGGACACCCATTGTAAATGCGTTAATTTTGATGCAGATATTATGATTATAAACATTATAATCATTACAATGTTACTGACATTATTACCAGCAATATAAGATAAAAGAACATATTTCAAAAAATCAAGGAAAACGGTAAAAGGCGAGATAGGTAGTACCATTAACTGGGTCATTGGTGACTATGCACCTGTGGAGCCATCTATGTGAAAGACAATTAATAAGCAGAACTCATAGTGGGTATGGGATGTACATACCCGCCATCACCGGCAGCATTGGGTTGATAATAATATTAATAAAAATCAATACCTTTTCTTCCAAAAAATTAAGAAATTAAATAAATAGGAGAGGCCAGATAGGCAACATAATTAGCTTCTAGAGCTATCTGTGTAAACAAAATTAAGCCCTACAATCAGGATGAGATGACCATTACATTAAGATAAAAATTGACTTGGGGGGAGGATGGCATATAAAATTGGCCGAGGGCCTGGATGATGACTACTTGCCATCATGAGAATTTCAGCTGGAGGGTGGGGTGACAGGAATGACTTGCCACGTGTTCAGAGTTCTTGGAGGGTTATTAGACTCAGTTGGAAGGGGCTTTTGCATTATTTCCATCAATAAACGAGTGTGTAATTTACCATCCATGACCCATGACTGGAGCACTGGCTCCAGCAAGGATGCTATTTTCATGCTCAGGATCCTATTCCTGCCTGCCGTGATAATAACATTGCAATAGGGAGGCATGGTCTTGTCATTGCACATGGGTGATTGCTCATATGTGCCCAGCCTACATGTTACAAGCTACAAGCCACACACCCGTCAGAGTGGCCACTCAAGTTAGCCTAATGCCTATATTTTAAGCCACATGTGGGCAGTGAAGCATCCAGATATAAATGGTTGATAAAACAAAAACACAGCAGATAATGCATATATACATCAATAGGCTACATTTTGTATGTAGTCTACAAGACTAAACTATGATTCAGCTTAATATTATCCCAATTTAATAGAAAAGAGATGAGAAAGACAATACATGACAAGGAGAGTGAGGGAGAGAGGAGCTATGTTAAAAAACTTACTTCTGTACATTGGCACGTTAGGTCTGTAATAGCATCCTGAAGTGATAATGTCCCCCTGATGGCCACCACAACGTGCTCTGTTTCATCGTCAATGGCAACGAAAAATGGGACCTACAGAAAATACATAACAATTATTGGTAACAAAATCAGTGCATAAACAAATACCAAGAAATACTCTCATATGGTCTTTCACAGAGAAAAGCAAAAACAAAAGTCGAAAAAAACATACTTCATAAATTTTATTATGGAAAGTGATGTAAGAAATGCTTTCTTGATCCAGCCCTGTTATAGCTTTCAGCGCAGCCGTATTGCATAGGCAACAGTTGTCTTTTGCATCTAGGGATGGGTCTGCCCTGTAATACATATATCAAGGTCATTTAGCAGCAGCTTTCTCTTTAGTCAAGATTCGTGCATAAAAATCAAAATGTGAAAAGGCATTACATTTTCATATATCACTACAAATATAGATTTAAATAAGAATATACAAATAAATGCATGCAGAAACACACACATGTACTCACATGCACACCCAACCCATTGCATGCATTACCTCTTTTGATCCAAAATGTTCCATTAACCCATCTTTCCTTCTCCCTTTGTACTTGAGCACCACTGATATCAAAAGCAACAATTCTCAGACACACCTGCAGTTTGCACAGCAGTGTAGATGCTTCCAGAGGGAACAACAAGCCTGACAGAAACGGCCATACACAAACCATGGCCAGCCATAGGAAGCCAAGGCAAATTTCATGAAATGATATGCACTGCCCACTTTCATCCATTCCGGCCTAGGGGATTGTTGGTGGGGTAATGCACCTTCACTCTGCAGGGCACCTGTAGGTTGACATAACCTTATAACAAATTTGTTTATTTTGTTTTCCTTCTTCAGATTACTATTTCAGGACTTCTTTTTTCTATTCTATACTTTCTCTCTTGTTATACTGCCTTACCAATACTTGCTGTGGAGGAGCGACTTAGAGGCAGATGAAGATTATTTTTCCTAATGGCTTCCTCTTGGCGTTCTTCTTGCTTCCTCTTGAG